CTAGAGATGGAAAGAGTAGGAATTAAGTTTAAAAAAAGTACGAACTCCTAATATTTGCTTGATAACTTTGCATAAAGCAAGATAGGACTAAATTATGGATAGTCTGAAATGTTGGACTGAAGTTTGGCCTTATAAGCAATAGGGAGCCTAGTAAGTCCTTCATATGGTAAAGAAATGATGAAAGTAGCATTTTAGGGGAAAAATAAAACTATTCATCTGGATTGTGCAAGATGCCATTTAGTGAAGAAAGATTCATCAGATTTGCATTGTTCCAACAACAATCTATTAAAAGCCTGGACTAAGGAAGTGGTATTTTAAATCCAGAGGAGAAAGATAAGAAATATTTCGAAGAAAATGCCTTGCTTCATTAATAATTTCATCTCCGGAATAAATGAAGAGAGATTAAAAATAACACACAGGTTTTAAACGTGTTCGAGAAAATGAAAACTATGGGAAGCCAGTATGGTTTAGGAGGGAAGTTATAAATTTGGTCTTGGCTAAGTTAAACGGATTCTGCCGGCCAAATGAGGGTGTCCTTTAGGCAGCTGAACTACGTCAGAGCTAGAGTTCTAAGTGCAAAGTCACAGTTATGAAGGTAAATGAGCTCAACAGAGCCAGTATGCACAGAAGCTCAAAAGACCAATGAACGTGGCTACAGTTAGTAGAAAGAGGAAGAGGAACCAATCAAGTAGAGAATGACTGACTGGAGAGGCAGGCAGCTAGCCAAGTCTGTGTTATAGAGTCTAGAAGAGAAGGCTTACTATAATCAACCAAATGCTACCAAGAGGCCAAGGAGAAGGAGAACTTTGGTAATCCCTAAGAACGTAGTTTTAATTGAGTTAAGAGAAGGTAAATTATGAGGAAATAGAGGCAGGTATAGACTAACCACCTGAAAATCCTGGTAATGGAAAAAAAAAAAATGGCGACAGCTGGAAAGGGCAACAGGGTCAAAAGAGCAACCTAGATAGAGCTGACCATAAGTGGGAGGCGCTGGTAGGAATGGAAAACAAAAGATTGACAATAGGCACAAACACATGTTTTTAAAGTATACAGTTTGTTCACTTTGGATTGTAACCCTCTTGAGAACAGGAACCACATTTTATTTGTATTTATATCCCCCCATAGCACCAAGAGCAGTGTCATGCTCATAATAGATAAAAATAGGTGTCACTGAATTGAGTTGGGGTCTCCCTGGTATGGCCAGGGATGGAAGAAAGAATGTCTTATAGTAGTGGAGAGGAGCGTCAGAGCTTCCCTTGAGGCCAACGGTAAGAAAGAGGTTAGTGTAAAGATATGCCTTTCCTCCTGAGAAGTGGGAAGTAATAGGAAGACACTGGCCTGATGTGGGGGCATCTGTCTTTTAGCAGAGTCCAGATCTGAATGATGCTGTGTCCAGTCTGCAGAGTCCTGTTTCTCTTCTCCTGTCATGGGTCCTCCTTCAAGGGGGGATGTATTTCATGTAAAGGTGAGAGTGCAGCCACTGGCCTTGGGGGAGTCTATGAAGTAATTCTTTACTAGTTATCCTTGTCTATAGTGTTGCCAGCCTCATCAATTCTCAGCTGGTTAAATATAGAAGAAGGAGCTGGGCATGATGGCACATGCCTCTAATCCCAGTGACTCCAGAGGCTGAGGCAGGAGGATTTCAAGTTCAAAGCCAGCCTCTGCAATTTAGTGAGGCCCTACGCAACTTGGCAAGACCCTGTCTCATAATAAAAAAGTTTTTAAAAGGGCTGGGGATGTGGCTCAGTGATTAAGTGCCGTGGTTTCAATCCCCAGTACCAAAACAAAAGATAGAAGGATCACATTTAGGAAAAAAAAAATCCTCATTATCTAATTTTAAAGAAGTTTGTGACATGTTGAGGCAAAGATATGAGTCATTAAATTTTCTAAACTAGGAGGACCTCATGACCCCCTAGAGCAGAGGCAGGTGGAATAGAGAAGAAACCTCTCTAGGCTTCCAATATGTCTTGAGGAATCAGAGCTGGTTTCATTCTGGCCATCGTTCAAAGGGCAAAATGGGTGGGTCCTACAACCTGGTGGAGTTCAGAGGCAAAGTTCCAAGTCAGAAGGGTGGTGGTTCCCTAATGGACTGGGGTGATCATGGGGCAAAGGAGCAGGGAAGAGACAGCTGTTATAAGAAGGAATGTTAAGTTGGGGTTCTAAATAACTATGGAGCATAAAGAGATTCAGAGGAGGAGGGAGGAGTGACCAGGGGAAGGAACATATTTCCCCCAAGAGATACAACAGGGGAATCCCAGCTCAGAATATAAATTTGAGGAGTTTTCATAGAGATAGAGAGGGACGTGAAGGACTTCCTGGGTTCCCTGATCCTGTTTTCTTCTCTTTTGCTTTTTTAGGTGAGAGAAGGCTGCTATGACTCCTTGGATGGGAGGTTTGACTAGAAGAAATTGGAAAATAAAAAAATAAATGAAATCATCTAGTCACTGTCTACTTCATGGGAATCTATTCTAAGGTCACACACTAAAGAGAGTACCAGAATTTGGGGACAGGAAGAGTAGATTAGAAAGAGAATTAGGTGACAATAGATTTAAAGGAATTATGAATTGTAAATATACCTGGAATTTGGGCTAAAATGAACACCCACAGATGACAGGTTTATTCAGAGTCCATAATTCCCTGTAATTCTATTGTTTTATATGGTATTGAGACACTATGCTTGGGAAATAGGGTTATGGTTTATTTAGAAAACTTTTTTTTTCTTTTTATAAAATAAGCATATTGTTAAAAATAAGTAAAATATTAATTACTAGATCAGATTTGAGGGGCTGGGGATATAGCTCAGTCGGTAGAGTGCTTGCCTCACATGCACAAGACCATGGGTTCAATCTCTAGCACCCCCCCCCACACACACACACACAAACACACACACAAAGAACAGATTTGAAATAGTCACACCTAAAGTCGCCATCCTCAGGACCCTAATCAGAACTGGGCTGCCCCACATCAATGTTTACAGCAGCATAATTCACAATAGCCAAGGTATTGGAGCCAACCCAGGTGCCCTTCAACATGAATGGATAAATAAAATGTGGCATATGTACACAGTGGAGTATTACTCAGCCATAATGAAGAGTGACTTTATGGCATTTGCTGATAAATAGTTGGAACTGCAGACCAGTTCCAACCAGACCAGTTCCAAGTGAAGTAAGTCAATCCAAAAAAATCAAAGGTTGAATGCTTTCTTTGATAATCAGAAGCTAATCGAAAATAAGGGGGAATAAAGATCAGTGGAGTAGACAAAAGAGAACCAAGGGAAGGGAGGAGGGATGAGCTAGATAGGAAACAGTGAATCCAACATTCCTATATACATATATGAATATACCACAGTGAATGTCATCATCATGGAATAGACACAATTAAAAAAAAGAAAGAAAAGCTGTAAGTAAATAGTACAAAGATCAGTAAAGGGAGAGGAAGGGTGGGAATAAAAAAAATATTTTTAGGGCTGGGGTTGTGGCTCAGCGGTAGAGCGCTTGCTTAGCACGTTTGAGGCTCTGAGTTCAATCCTCTGCACCACATAAAAATAAACAAAATAAAAATATTGTGTCCAATTTATATATATATATATATATATATATATATATATATATACACACACACACACACATACATACACACATACATATATATTAAATCAGTAGAGGAAAGGGAACAGAGTGGGAGGATGGGAGGAAAATGGGAAATACTGGGGACTGAATTAGAACAAATTATATTCTGTGCTTTTCTAATTATGTGAAAGTGAATTCTATTGTTATGTATGACTTAAATATATATATATATATATATATATATATATATATATATATATATGAATAAGTTCACAGTATTTAAAAAAAAAGAACTGGGCTGCCCTCTTGCGGTCTCTCCGGTGTCAGAGCGTCAACCAGCCCACAGTCCCCGGGTCTTACTTCCTCTTATTCCCTTTCCATTGTTCTCTTCAAATATTGCAGGGGGCAACAAATAGTGATGTCTGATACTTTTGAGACTCTTTAAATTCTGGACCTGCCTCCCTCCCTCCTTCAAAGTCTTTCGAATCCTCTCCAAAGGACAAATAAACTCAAGCCGAAGAAGCCACAGCCTTGGAGCTCAGGGGTTTTCACACTCTCTTCCCTTTGCTCAAAATCCGATAATTCAGGGCACAAGCCTGAAGAGCCGAGGCAGAAAAGTCAGGCACCACCGAGTTCGGCTTTGACCTCTGCAGTCTTGGCGGGCTGGCATCTGAGCTGGTAACGTGCGTGGCAGGTTATGTAAGGAAAGGGCTGCAGGAGCCGCCCCAGCGGGAGCCGGGGAGAGCACGCCGTGTTCTCGGCCGCCGTCCCCACCCTCCTCACCCAGCAGGGCAGGAGGCACCCAACTCGGAGGAGTGAGAATGGGGAGGTGAAACAGAGCAGGGAGTCACGAGGGCTGAGACGCGCAGACTGGGAGCGGTTACACGGTGTCACACAGCCGTTCGCTCACACACGTTGCAGCACAAGTAACTGACGGGTTCCACGTGCTGTGCTCGTGAGCGGAGGCGCTCACCGAGGGGGCAGACGTGTCAGCCGGGGAGCAGAGCCCTGGGTCCCACGCCCCGAGGCACGCGCTTCCCGTCTGACATCCCTCCTCTGAACACTCCAGCTGCGAGTCTCCTGCGCCTCACTATCCTATTTAAGGCCCAGGGCTCCGCCCTTTTTCTCCCGTTCCTACTTTTTCACTCTTTTTTCCATCCTCCTCCTTTTCTCCTCACCGGGTCCTCTCCGGGAGCCGCATGTAGGGGCGGAGCACGGAAGGCTTCCCTTCCAGCCAATCGGCACCTGACTGCTTCTTTATTGGCCGAGCCCCTGTGAGCTGTAGCAAATGGGCTGTGAACTTCATTAACGGGAGTCACGTGTTACCGGCTAGCCAACCAATGAGGATGCGAAATCGGTGTACGCAGGGGGAGGCACGTGCCGAGCCGCACGTGTCCGGGAGGGGGGAAGGGGCGGGACCACAGAGAGTGGGGCGGAGGTGGGTAGCCCAGACCCGGAGAGACTGAGAAGCAGCCGGATCCGGAGCCGAGGCCGAGCGGATCGACCCAGGTAAGGAGACTCAGAGGGCGATGAGTGATCCGTGGAGAAGGCTGGGGCCGGGGGGAGTGGGTTTGGGTGAATGCACGCAGATGTGGGTATTGGTAGGGATTGCATCACCTGGCCGGCGCGACTGTAGATCCCTGGATCAGGGATATTGATCAAGAGAGATTGGGGAAGGTTAGGAGGTCGGTCCCTGTGGGGGCGATTTCCACAGGGACGCTAGGTAGGTTAGGTAGGTTCAGGTGTGCAGATTTACACTCGCGGGTGGCTGGCCTCAGACGCCAACTGCGAGGTCGAGCTGGGGAACAAACCAGGAGAACAGCAGAGGAGGGGAAGGTGTCCGAACCGAGGGAAAATGTTCACAGGCCCAGAGCTGATCTGCAGAGGCCAGAGAGGCAGCCCCAGTTTTTTCACGGGTGGGGGTAGGGGAGGTGACTTTTTCTATTGTCTATTGGGCAGGGGAAATAGAGGTGTTATCCCGCGCAGTACACCTCCGTCTCCCCGTCCGTTTCCTAATCCTTAGACTCTGGTTTCAAACTCCCTCGCTTTGCTCTTCAGTTGCAGGTTCGGATCTTTGGGTACTCCAGGACCTGCTCTCCAGCCCCTGCTTCTGGACCCATGGATTCTCCATCTAGTGTTTCTTCTTATTCCTCCTCCTCTCTTTCTCCCTCTTTTTCCACCTCCCCAGTGAACGGTGATTTTGGCTTCCCCTCCGATAGTGAGAGGGAGAACAAGGGGTCCCAAGGGCCCAGGCCAGACACTGTTGGGCAGAGGGGATGTTTCCGGCCTAGCCCGGGTCCTATCCGCTGTAGGCATCGTTGCAAGGTTTCCAGTAACCAACATACAGCATCTCATCTGGAACAGCGGGGCTTGACTTCTCCTATGGCAGAATCTGGGATCAAAAGATCAAGAGATGGTGAATTGGAAACCAGTGTAAACATCCAGGGTTGTACCACAGAGGGAGACCTGCTCTTTGCTCAGAAGGTAGGAGAAAGGAAATGATAATCCTAAACCCTCAACTGGTTAGGACCTTAAGAGGAAGGTCCTAATTTGGAAGCAGAGGAAGTATGGCTACTCATATGGACAATTCTTGGTCTTCTCATAGCCTCTGTCCTATTTTCCTACAGTGTAAAGAGCTCCAAGGATTCATTCGCCCCCTCACAGATCTACTGAATGGGCTGAAGATGGGTCGTTTTGAGAGAGGTAATTGTCTGATTATTTGCATTATTTTGGACTAGGTTCCCACCTTAGTATCTGTCTCTCTGGAATGTGTATATCTCTAAAGTCTTTATTCAGAGCCTGAATTGTTCCTTTTTCTTTTTGCATTTGTGATTTATTTAATTCCTTTAGGTGAATCAATTTTAACCCCTTTTGCCTTCCTTTATCTTACTACAGTATTGAATCTTGGTCCTTAATCTTTCTCTGACTCCAGGATTGAGCAGTTTCCAGCAGAGTGTGGCAATGGACAGGATCCAGCGCATTGTAGGTGTTTTGCAGAAGCCTCAGATGGGGTAAGTCCACCTGATTCTTTCCCCAGTACCATATAAAAAGGAGATCTCTCCAATCCTTTCTTGTTTCTTTTTTAATATTTGTTTTGTTTTAATGTTCTTTTCATAGGGAGCGTTATCTAGGAACCCTGCTACAAGTAGAAGGGATGTTGAAGACTTGGTTTCCTCATATAGCTGCCCAGAAGTCATCACTGGGTGGTAGCAGGCACCAGATGGCCAAGGTAAGAACTTAAACCCTAACAAAGAAGCAGGAGAATAATGGAGAAAAGGGAATATGCATGCATTTTCTTCTGGATCTTTTCCTCAAGTTTCTGTTAGGAAAGGAATTCCTAAACTTCCTGCATTGTCTTAATTCCTAGATGATTTTTGTTCTATTTTGTTTGGATCACTAGGCAGAACTCCACAAAGTTTAATCCTATCCCTCATGTGGCAGTGAATCTGCTTTCTGTACAGATACAGAAGGCGTTTTTTACCTGGACAAATTATTCATGCAGGAAGATGCCTCAGCTTCTTTCTGTAAACTCTTTCTTCCTTGCTGCCCCTAAAACTCTCGCCCTCTCCCTCTTTTGACTCCAGTACAAGTATCCTTGTATCAAATCCTCTGGAAGCCTATAAGTCTACACTGGGTTTCAAGGACTGGTCATAAGAGGTATATCACTGGGAATCCGGGAGAGGGCACCTATGGGGCATCCATGAGAAGAGTGTTGGATAGATTCTTGGACCTGGTGTGGAAGTGACCTTTTTTCTGTGCATTCAAATAACAGGATATTTAGAGGGCATTCGAGTAATGGGGAGGGGGGAGTGTCCTAGATAATGACCTATCCTTGTGTTCAATCAATAGCAGTTACTAATGCTGTGAAAATAACTTGATTAAAAAATGAGTAGAATGGTCTGGGGCTATAGCTCAGTGGCAGAGCACTTGCCTAGCATGCGTGAGGCACTGGGTTCAATCCTCAGCACTACATAAAAATAAAACAAATAAAATAAAGGCATTATGTCCCATCTACAACTACAAAAAAATTTTAAAAAACAAGCTGGTTGCAGTGGCTAAGGCCTGTAATCCCAGCAGCTCAGGAGGCTGAGGCAGGAGGATTTCAAGTTTAAAGCCAGCATCAGCAACTTATTGATGCCCTAGGCAACTTAGTGAGACCCTGTCTCTAAATAAAATATTAAAAAGGACTGGTGATGTGGCGCAGTGGTTAAGTGGGTTTAATCCCTGGTACTGAACGGAAATAAATAAGTAGAGGGATCTTGCCTGAATATTAATTTATACTTCATAAAACATTCAACATACAAAATTAGAATTTAAAATAGAGGGCTGGGGTTGTGGGCTCAGAGGTAGAGCACTCGCCTAGTAGGCATGAGATACTGGATTTGATCCTAGCACCACATAGAAAATAAAATATATTGTGTCCACCTATAACTAAAAAAAAAAAAATTAAATATAGAAATTGTGGAATGATGTTTTCAATTAAAAATCCACTTTTTTAAAAATAGGCACAGTACTACATGCCTGTAATCCCAGCTACTCAGAAAGCAGGGGCAGGAGGATCACAAGTTTGAGGCCAGCCTTGGCAAAAACAAAACAACTTTTCTTTAAATAAATTCTACATTGGGTTTGGTGGAACATGTCTATTATCCCAGCTACTGGGGAGGCTGAGGCAGGAAGATCTCAAGTTTAAGGCTAGCCTTAGCAATTTAGCAAGGCTCTCAGCAACTTAATGAAACCCTATATAAAAAAATCATATATATATATATATACACACACACACACACACACACACATACATACATACATACATCTGAAAGGAATTGTTTTATAAATAGTGAGAATCTGTAGGACTATTTGTTGAATATCCAGTATCTTATATAGTATGTGGCACATAGTAGGCGCTCAACTATTTGTTGAATAAATGAAAGTATAACTTGATTACTAAAAATTTTACTTAATATGTTCTTGCCAGGTAAGAACACATTATCTGTTGCACAAAACAAGGTATGTTTGCACTGCAAACCGAGTTACCAAAGAAAGCAAAGTTTTAAACAGTAATGTTGGAATCAGTCTGAAAACTTCCTTCACAGTTTTTTTCTTATTTCACTCCTTCCCTAGCATTTTCCAAGCCACCACAGTAATGAAACTACTTCCTCTTCTGCTCCTCCTCTGGAAAAGATGGGCCCGACACAGCTAGGACATTTAGTTTTTAAACCAAAGCAGCCTTGGCACCTCACAGAATGGCCAGCTATGAACCTCACCTGGATCCACACCACCCCTATTTGCAACCCCCCTCTAAGTTCCCCAGGTACCGTGTCTTTTAGCCATGATCCTGTAGGCACTGGGACCAGCATTGGTGTCATCCTTTTCGTCCAGCATGGAGTGCAGTCCTTCACCCACTCTGCTCCTGCCACTCCAGTTCCATCCACTACAGCATCTACTGGTGATCTGAAGAGACTATCTGGAGAGGGACCTCGCTGTCACAGTTTGCCAGTAACTCTGCCATCAGACGGGGACTGCACTGTGTCCTCTGCTGGTCTACCCACCATGGCCAGTGAGATGCACAAAGGACACCCAGAGGAGCAGCTGAAAAGCTGCCCTCCAGTTGTTTCTGATGCCTGTCTCCTCAACCCCTAACCCACCCATGCATTTGTCCTCTGTGATCCCCAATTTGTGTAAATATATGTACATATATAGAGATTTTTTACTTTTAATGTGTGTGTTTGTGTTTAGAGGAGATAAATCCTTTCTGATTAAATAAATTATTTACCTAAACACATTGGGGTACATTGAAAACTTTCTGCCTCACATACTGATCTTTATCCTCCGAGTTGCAGAAAAGATGAGATGGGAATGTTTGTGAGTATGAGTATGAGCTCCACCAAGTTTGAGTCTGAATGGGATGATAGAAATCTGGGGGAGAAGTAAAGAGACTCCTGCTGCTGTTTTCTGAGGGAACAGTCTTAGGACAGTTACAGGATTCAAAGTTGGGTTTCCTTTTATTTTTTTCAGGTTCAGAGACTAGTACCTTTCCCTTTGTGTCTCTCCCCTGTGTAATCTTCTAGCAGGTTCTTCTGCTCTGGGATATCTCTTTGCTTTGATGGGAGATGTTGGTGCTTATGGATAAATGCATAACCTTGTGCTGCCAGAGGAGGGGCCCAAGAGCCAAAACAACTATTGTTGGGAGTAGCACAAAGTCCCTTCAAACACTGGGCCTCAAAGAACAAACAAAAAAAAAACCCACTGGGCCTCATCTTTATTCAAAACACTGCACCTGCTAGGTGTAACTAGACTAAGGAAGGCTACCCATTATTTTCAGGAGGCAAAAATTAAGTCCATGAATAAAAATTAAGTCTGTTTCTACCCTTCTCTCAATATTACTCTATTTCTGATCTTTCCCAATGTCCATGAAAACTATTTCCTCTCCATGATTATTTCCCATATAAGTAAAATCAAGTCTCTCCACTTTGAAAACATTTGTTGAGCCCTGCATGGTAGTGTACTCCAATAACTGCTAGCAACTTGGGAGGCCAAGGCAGGAAGATCACGAAACCAGCTGGTGATTTAGCAAGACTCTGCCCCCCCCCCCCCCCCCCCCCAAAAAAAAAAGGCCTGGGTATATGACTCAGTGGTAGAGTGCCCCTGGGTTTAATTCCTTCAAAAAGAAGGAAGGAAGGAAGACATCTTCAATCTGATTGTCCTCTTTCTCTTCTTTTCTCCATAATTTTCCCAAGTCAATAATCTTTCCCCCTTCCTGGTACTGGGGATTGAACCCAGTTCCTTACACATGCTAGCAAGCACTCCATCATTGAGCTCCATCCCCAACCCTTTTTATTTTATTTTGAGACAGAGTCTTGCAAAGTTTCCAAGGCTGGCCTCCGACTAATGATCCTCCTGCCTCAGCCTCCTGGCTTGCTGGGATTACAGGTGTGCCCCATCATGCCTGGCTCCACTACATTTAGTTTGTTACACCTTCCAGAGTCACCGATGATCTCACAGAACCAGTATTATAATGCAGCTTCCACCTAATCAACAGCTTAGTCCAGGGTCCTTTACCAAGGGTATGTACTTCATGTTCTCTGTATCATTTGACACTCGATTCTGCCTACTGAAACTCTCCTCCCTTGGATCCCATGACAGCACACTATCCTAATTCTCCTCTTACCTAACTGGCAGCAAGTTCTGAATTTCTTAATGGCTCCACTTGCACCTAATACAAAGTGTGTGGTTTCTCCTAGGTTCAGACCATAGCCTTTTTCTCTGACTATATTCTTTCACATAAAAGTTTCATTTTCTTTCATGGGTTTAATTATTGCCTCAATTTTAATGAGTGCTAAATCTCCATTTCCATTCCCAACCTTTTTCATAAGAAGGCATTTGAATATATAAATTTCTGTTGGACAGTTTTATATATTGCTGGCACAAAATTATTGAACACATCAGCATTCTAGATATAAGATGCAATTTTTGTATCTAATTCAACTTAATGCCCTTATTTTATAGATAAGAAAACAGATGTGTCTAAGCCAACAATGTGTGGTACAGAATTCTTAGTTTCCAGTCTCATGCTTTTTCCAGTGATGGCCAATAAAATTACTTCCCATTTTTATAATCTCCTCTCCAGTTAGTGCTATCTAGGGTAGTAACATTTTTCTAGTTAACTAGGCTTAAAACTTGGTACCATTTGGTCACCAGGTCCTTTTTGTTCTTTATTTGAAATATTTCTTCCATTTCTTCCTATCCATTCCATTGCCATCACTCTATTTTCCCTAGAGCAAAAGTCTCTCTTACCTCTAATACCTTTTCAGTGATAAACAGATTAATTTTCCTAGAACCATGCTTTGCCTGTCCTTCCTTTATCATCAGGTCCTTCAATTTCTCCCAATGTCATGAGAAGAATGTACAAAATCTTTAGTCAAAATCTGTATTTTTTCCTCTGCTCTCCTGCACAATCCTTCTGCTCCAGAATCTATACTGTACTCCCTTCTTGCTTCTAAACTCTTGTTCATGTGGTTCACTTTGTCCACCTTTTCTGTTTCTGTTATCCAAGCCCTACCCTTCATTTAGTGACTAATTCAAGTCCCTCTCCCATTATTTATATTCACTTGCTTGTTTACTTATTTATTTATTTATACTGGGAATTGAACTCAGGGCACTTTGTCATTGAGCCACCCTGAGATGAGGTCTTGCTAAGTTGCTGATGCTGGCCTTGAACTTGTAATTCTTTTGCCTTAGGCTGGAATTGCAAGTGTGGGCCACAGCCTCCAGCATCATTCTTCCTGTTAAATATGCTATACACAGTAAATACACTGTATATTTTTACATTTGACCCTTTTGACTCCTATGAGAAATTTTGTTAGATTGATAGTGCAGATTCTAATGCTGTTTTATAGATGAGAAAATAGACTGAGTTCACTTTTTTTGTGTGTGTGATGCTGAGAATCAAACCCAGGGCCTTGTGCTTGCTAGATAAGTGCACTACCATTTAGCCACATCCTAAGCCCTAGACTGAGTTCAAATCTGGCAAAAGCCAAATAGTAAATATTTTAGGTTTAGGCCATATATACCTGGTTCCCCTACCCAAGTCTGTCATTGTAACCCAAAGTAACTATGCTTAATAAATACGCAATGAGCATATACTTCCAATACTTTTATTTACAAAAAGAGATGGGCTGGTTTGGCCTGCAGTAGTTTACAGACTCTTGATTGATTGGTTGGTTGATTTGTCTTGTGCGTGCTTGCCTGCGCTGAGGACTGAACCCAGGGAAGCTTTACAACTGAGCTTCAACCCAGACCATTTTTATTTTTGAGACAGGGTCTTACTAAGTTGCTAAGCTCTTGCTAACTTACCCAGATTGGTCTCAAACTTTCGACCCTCCTGCGCATGCGTTCTAAATTGCTGGAATTACAGAAGTGTGCTACCATACCCAGCCAAACCCCTGATTTAAGTGACTTGTATGATGAGTATCAGAATTGGGATACAATACAGACCATCTGACTTCTAATCCAGTATCTTTCCATCATATTATGCTGTTGTCTATGTAATTTATTTTGCATATGTTATATGTTACCTTGTTTCACTGTTTATCTTTTATGTCCACATACTGTCTTTTAGTGATGCAAGAGGCACTGGAATGATACCAACAGTACTGGGCACAGAGTAAGCATTCAATAAAAGTTTGTGATAATCATAATGATAACCCAGTCTAGCTATATTTTGGTACTTTGGACCTGGATTACTCTGAAGTAGGCTTAAGGGATTTTTTTTTTTTTTTTTTTTGGTAGTACTGGAGACTGAGTCCAGAGGTCCTCCACCACTGAGCTACATTCTCAGCCCTGTATTTTGACACAGAGTTTCACAAGTTGCTGAGGCCTTGAACTTGCCATTCTCTTGCCTCAGTCTTGGGACCCACTGGAATTCAGGTGTGTTTCCCCACATCTGAATAGGCTTATGTTTTTGTATGAGTTCCTGTTAGTATAGTTGAGGAGAAGATGTCTCTCTGTATGTATTCTAGATGAGTTATGTTTTCCCTGTAATCTGTAGATCTGAATAACCATAAACAGATACGTAGAAATAGTATACAAATAAATAATTCCACAATGTGGAAGATATAAAAAAGAAAATATTTCTAGCAGGTCTTACTAGGAGTCAAATGGCAAAACCGACATACAACATTTTTTTATTCTAAATCCTGCAGGCTTTCCTATGTCTTTATTTAGTGATTTCTCTTAATTTAGTGAAATGGTTAGAAAGATGAGGTTATGGTAGATTCACAGCATGTTCACTTTTTCTCGCCCACTTTCCCTTAGTTTCGAGGCAGACGAAGGGTATGAGGCTATTTTTCTTCGGGGACGGAGGGCAGATCTATGTTCTTCCCCCCCCCCCCCAAAAAAAAAAAAAAACCCACAACAACAACCGGGAAGCATGCTCAGGAAGCGTTGCCTATTTCTCATTCTCCATCCAGGAATGTGAATGGCTTGAATATCAAGGGTTCAGTAGGTTCAAGGGGAACGGACTCGGGCCGATCGTCTCCGAGGCCGAAGGACTTGGACTCCGTGAGAGGGCTGGGAACGTGTTCCGGCGAAATCTGAGTCCAGCCTTTCGCTCGGTCAGGTGTGGAGTCCAGGCCCGGGGCAAGGAGAGGACGTCCACCCAAGCCTGAAAGCGCGTTGCCATGGTTTCCGGTGCCCGATTCCTCCCTACGCCCCCGGCTTCGCGCGCGGCGCTGGGGATTCCGTAGTTTCCGCTTCCGGTCGCGAGCGCCGGGGGCCGGGCGCGTTCTGAGGGTGCCGGGTGAAGGACTCCCTCCGCGGTCGGGAAGCCTCGGAGGGCCTGCGGAGGGCCGGGTCTGCACGGCGGCCCCCTCCCCCACGCCCGGCAGACTCCTTGTCCCGTGAGCGGTCGCTGGACCTGCGGCGCGCCCCTGCCCCGGCCGTCCCCCCGCGCCCGGCGACGCGGCCTCGGTGGCGAAGCCTGGCTACCCTTGGTTTTCCCCGTTTTCTCGGGTTTGTACTAGCAAAGAGAACAAGGGAGTCTTCTACCGATTCTCATGTTCTACGATACAGATACCCTCCGCGTGCCCCGTCTCGCGTGACCCTGAGCACGTTTCCTTTTCAGACATTGAATAAAGCGCGCGGTGACGTGCATTTTGTGGTTCTTTCTCTTACTAGGTCTCTGTGCTTTCCTTGCCTTTTCTCCGCCCTCCTGTAAGTCCTGAAGAGTGAAGACCTAAATCCAAAGTTATGGCAAAGCACCTGAAGTTCATTGCCAGGACTGTGATGGTACACGAAGGGAACGTGGAAGGTGCATACAGAACCCTGAACAGGTAACTACGTAAAGGGATCAGAAACAGGACTAGATGGACTCTCTGGGAAGTGAGGTCGTTACTCACCCATACACACCCATCACGGATTGTTCTTAAACCAGTGCCAACCCAGGTGGGGGTCTAGCCTTTTGAAACTTCTCAGCCCCACAGTTTATTTTCTTAAAAATGAAATTCTTCCTAAAACCTAACTGTGAAGCTTATTCATCAAGCGATACTCATCCCTTTGATAAAGAACCTGAGTTTTATCCACGACTTACAAAAGAACCCAAAGGGAAAACTGAGATGTGAAGTTGCTAGGAAGCAGTAACATTGGTAAATAGCTAAGGGGGGGATTGGTGTAGGACAAGGCCAATGGAAGAGATTAATTTAGATTGGGATCTTGGAGAAACAAGTAAGAGATGGGATGTCATTAAAGGTTTACAAGAGGGTTACGGATAAACAAAAATACATAGATGTGAGTAAATTAGAAGTGGAGGAGCTGTACTGAAAGGTTTTTGAATGCTAGGCTGTGAGATAAAGGATAACCCTAATAATGCCTTACCACTCAAATTTCTCAGTCAGAAAGTTCCCTTGTCACCACTTGTAAGATTTTTGACTTTCTGGAATTCCTAATTCATTGTTTTCTCTCTTCAGTGAGAACCATGGTTTGGAGAAACAAATATGTGTTGAGTTGAATTACCAAGGAATTGTAGGAGTATTTTTGTTTTTGGGTTTTTTTTTTTTTTTTTTGCATGATACTGGAGATTGAATACAGGGATGTTCTACTAATAAGCTACACCTACAGCCCTTTTTTATTTTTTTATTTTGAGACTATGTCTCATTAAAGTTTCCCAGGCTGCACTTAAACTTGTAATTCTCCTGCCTCAACCTCCTGAGTAGCTGGGATTATAGGCACCACCATACCTGGCAGGAAGGAGATTTTAAGAGATTACATGAGCTATCCCTCTGTCTTAAGTCCTTTGATATGGTTTCTTTTCACAAGTAAGGGAAGCCCATAAAGATTATATTTCTTGGGTCATGCAATTATTGAATGGTGTAGAGAATCATAAAGCACACTTTTTTAGTGTTCTTTGCTCTATATTAAAAGGTTACTAGCTTTTATGGAAATGGAGGGGACTTGTGGTAGTCATTTTCCAGTTAAGAAACCTTATTTGATTAGGTTTAAATATTGGTTGGATTTGGGGGACTGAGAGTGCAAGTAAAAGAGAATTTTAATTTTTAGGAAAGCCAAGTTCTGGGTGAGCAGGGCCACATGGCAGAAGAATGCAATAAGTGGGATGCTGTCAGAAACTAAATGAGCAGTTTCAGAATCAGGATGTTTTTTATTCTTTTAAAAGCATCTTGTTTTGGAGGCTGGCAATGTAGCCCAGTGGTTGCCTAGCATGTGTGGGGCCCTGGGTTTAATCTCCAGCACCTGCAAATAAATAAATAAACTCAAGATTTGGTCTTGGGTCAGCCCCATCACCTCATTCTGTTTTATGCAAACCTTGGGGCAGAAGGTATTCCCTGTGCATTGTCATTAAGATTAAGAGTAATCCATTAGCATACCCTATTTCTTTCTTTTTTTCTCTGTTGCCTGCTACTCAGTCCTTCTCTCTTTCTTTCCTCCCTTCCTTCCTCCCCCTCCCTCCCCCCTCCTTTCCCCCCTTCCTCCCTCTCTCTCCCTGTGTGTGTCTCTCTCTCTCTCTCTCTCTCTCTCTCTCTCTCTCTCTCATTTCAGACCATCTGGTGTCATGTCTGAGAGTGATGAAGTGTCTGATGACCTTTCTCTGTCCTTATGTTGGAAGCACAAAATGTTTTTACAGGTGACATATAGACTCAATAGTGAATTAACTAGTGAAGTGAAATACTGAATTTGGGCAAAGGAATATCTCACATATAACTACCCTTTTCTTCTCCTGACCTTTCCCTATAAATCTTTTTCTGTGTGTTTTATTTTATTTATGATTTATTTTAGTGGATTTAAATGGGTCAGAGTGGTTGAGAGATGTTTTTGTTTTGTTTTTACATTCTAGGCAAGCACTCTATCACTAGTTATATCTCCACCTTGAGATGTTCATATTATTGAGGGATGTTGAAGAGTAGCTATTACTTGATGATAAAACAAATTCCAGAAGGCTCAGTTTTTGGTCCCCTTAACTTAACCCCTGTTTCTAAAGCACAGGTAGCACAAAAGGAAGGATTTTGTGTTTAGAAAATTAGCTACTTTAACAAAGAACCAAAAACATGGCAGGGTATTTTTGTGTGAGTGTGTGGTACTAGGGATTAATCCCAGAGCCTGGCACTTGCTAGGGGAACAGTCTACCACTGAGCTACCTCCCCAGCCTTTTTTGAAAATTTTAATTATTTTGAGACAGAATCTAATAAGTTTCCCAAACTGATCTCTAATTTGCTATCCTCTTGCCTCAGCCTCCCAGGTTGCTATGGTTACAGGTATGCACCACTGTGCCTTACTACCATTTTAATGCTTTTGACCAAGCTACTGCTTGAAAATAGTCTGTTCATGTTAATAAGGCACTATAACTCAGTGATTCAAGGTGCAGAATGCTGGGCATGGTGGCATGCCTATAATCCTAGCGAGTCAGGAGGCTGAGGCAGGAGGATCTCGAGTTCAAAGCCAGCCTCAACAAGAGCAAGGCACTAAGCAACTCATTGAGACCCTGTCTCTGAATAAAATAAAAAAATAGGGCTGGGGTTGTGGCTCAGTGGTTGAGTGCCCTGAGTGCCATACACACACCACACACACAAAGTGCAAACTACCTGGTTCAGATCCAAGCTCTGCCACTTAATAACTTCATGATGTCTGATAAGTTACTTAATGTCTCTGCCTTAGTTTCCTTATATGTCAAGTGGAGCTTATTAATGATATCCGTCTTAATAGTTGACCTGAGGCTTGTTAGTTGATACCTGTAAAGTGCTTAGAAGAGTGTTAGTCAGCTTTCCTTTGCTGTGGCACAATACTTGAGAAAATCATCCTAAAGGAGGAAAGGTTTATTTTGGTTCACAATTTCAGAGGTTTTAATCTGTGGTCAACTTGTTTCATTGTGATGGGACTGTGGTGAGGCAGAGTATCATGGTGGAGAGGGCATGGTATAGGGAGCCAGGGATACAATCCCCCTTCCCTTCCCTACTCTCTTCAACTGCGTCCCACCTCTTATATTTCCACCACCTCCCAGAGTCGCATCAATGGATTAACCCACTAATGAGGTTAGATCCCTCAAGATGCAGTCATTTCCTGAAAGCCCCACCTCTGAACATAGCTACACTGGGCACTAAGCCTCCAACACATGAGCCTTTGGGGAACATTCCAGATCCAAACTATAATAGTAGGCATTATGTGTTAGGTATTATCCCAATTTGGAACTCATTGTAAGGAAGTTTTGCTTCCTTAATGAAACCTTGCTTCTACAGTGGAACTCATTGTAAGTTGGCTTTGCTCTATGGGTGATTTGTTTTTTCTTGAGAGACTGAGAATTTACTTTTAATTGTCTTCTGTCTTCCTTGAATAAGGTTATGCTTAAGGTGGCCCAGAGATGAGAAAAAAGTGGAAATAATTATTTAACTTTATTTTGACATGAGGATTAGTTTATCAGTAGTAAATGAATTTTCTTAAAGACTGTAATGCTTTCCCACCAAGTCCTCTTCTGTTTAGCCTATTGCTAATCTCTATTTAAATAACAGTATTTATTCTGTTTGTATTCATTCTTGTATATATAGAATGTATCCTGCATTTCCACTTTCAAAAATTTTAAACAAAAAATCTGAGAAATAAAAATATCTTTATGCCAGGCATGGTGGTGCATGCCTGTAATCTCAGTGGGTGGGAGGTTAAGGCAGGAGGATCACAAGTTGAAAGCCAGCCTTAGCAACTTGGCAAGGCCCTAAGCAATTTAGCAAGACCTGTTTCTAAATAAAATATAAAAAGGGTTGGGAATGTGGCTCAGTGGTTAAGCACTCCTGGGTTCAATCCCCAGTGCCAGGAAAAAAAAAAAAAAGGCAATAAACAAACAAACATTAAAAGCCAGCCTCAGGGCTGGGATGTAGCTCAGTGGCAAAGTGTCTGCCTTGCATTCGCAAAGCCCTGGGTTGGACCCTCAGTTCCAAAAAAGACAAAAAAAAAAAAGCCAGCCTCAGCAATTTAGCAAGGCCCTAAGCAACTAAGTGAGATCTTAATCTCAAAATAAAAAACAAAGGGCTAGGGATATAGCTCAGTAGTAAAGCTCTTCTGGGTTAAATCTCTAAAACCAAAAAAAATTAATTAATTAAAAGGGTTGGGGTTCAGTGGTAAAGTGCCCCTAAGTTCAATCCCCAGTACCAAAAAATATATATATAAAATCTACTATCTGTGATGGGGTTGATCATCTCTTCATTGAAGCCAGGTCTAGCAGAAAGCACAAAGTCAGCTCTCTTTTCTGAGAGGAGCCTTTTTTTTTTTTTTAATTGGTTGTTCAAAACATTACAAAGCTCTTGACATATCATATTTCATACATTTGATTCAAATGGGTTATGAACTCCCATTTTTACCCCGTATGCAGATTGCAGAATCACATCAATCACATCGGTTACACATCCACGTTTTTACATATTGCCATACTTGTGACTGTTGTATTCTGCTATCTTTCCTATCCTCTACTATCCCCCCTCCCGTCCCCTCCCATCTTCTCTCTCTACCCCATCTACTGTAATTCATTTCTCTCTGTTGATTTTTTTTCCCTTTCCCCTCACATCCTCTTATATGTAATTTTGTATAACAATGAGGGTCGAGCCTTTTGTTCTAGTTAACAAGGTACAATCATACTTCTTTGTGTCCTTCTCCAAAATCCTTATTCAGCCAGGATCTTTTTTATTTAATCACTACAGTTTTTGCTTTTCCTATTTTTTCTTTACTGTTTTTCATTTTGACCTAAACCCCTTCATTCTCCTAGGTGTAAGCTGGTGGTAGGTAAGGGGAAAATAAATGAATGCTAGAAAATAGATGTATGTGTGGATACCTTCTTCCC